TCTTTCTTTATAAGGTTACTAAGCCTCAGATATTTCATTGTAGTAACAAAAAGTGTCAATATAGAGGGTGGTATAATTTATTATTTCAAAAACATTTTTAAAAATTTGTGTTTTTATTAATATATGTTTACAATACCTAATGGTTACATTTCTTGGGTGAAGTTGGTCCACGTACAAAACATGCCTAATTCCTTTTTTCATACCTTTCCTTGCTTGCCTCCTCTTCTCCATCTTCTTTTTTGGGAAGGGGAATTTGGTTTTTTTGAGACAGAGTCTCACTATGCAGTCCAGGCTAGCCTCAACATGCAATTTTTGGTTATCTTCTCCTGTAGTTAAATAATTGGACTAGTAAGTAGTTAATGACATTATTTCTCCTTAATACAGAATTCTGGGGCCAGGGGTTTAGCTCAGTGGTTCTGCTGTCTGCCTCGCAAGCCCAAGGACCTGGGTTCGATCTTTGGTACCAAAACAACAACAACAACAACAACAACAACAACAAAAGGAATTTTGGAGGTGTGATAAGCTTTGATTGTCTTTTTGTCCCCCTTTTTTTTTGTACCAGGGATCCAACTCAGGACCTTGTGCTTGCGAGGCAGGTGGTGGCACCACTGAGCTAAGTCCACGGCCATTTGTCCCATTTTCTTTTCTGTATGGACAGACATCTTAGTGCAGAGAGGTTACTTCACTTACTCAAGGGGAAGTATGTAATGGCTGGGAAGGAAGCAAACTAGTTTAGGTAAGAATTAATCTTCATTTGTAGATTTTTACAAAGTCCCTTAACAAATAATATTGGGGCTTTGCTCTATTATTGTTAGTGCTATAAAGCAAATAGAAATTTTTGGAGCTAAAAGTAGCCTTAGAGGCCTTCAGATCTAATTGCATCCTTATATAGATTAGAAAAATGTGGTCCAAAAACAGTGAACACCTTGCCCAGCAGAGCTAATTGGACCTGTGTCCAGGCCTTTTTTTCAGTACAATTTAATATGTGTTACAATTTAGGAGAAACTTATTTTAAAAAAAACTTGTTATTTTACTTGGCTTTGAAAGCATATCGTCTTAAAGAAAAATATTTTAGGTAATGTTTTAAGTTTCTGAGCTAACCCATTAAAAGCCTATGAATTACTTGGATTAAAGTAATTCAAGCATTTTAGGATGACTATTTGTTATTTATAATATTGTGTCTTTGGAAGTCTATGTTCCCGATTTTATTTAGGAAAATTATGATTTTGGGGTGGGAAATTGTGATTTTTTAAAAAACTACCAGTCACTGTTTGTTTGTTTGTTTTTTTGGTACCAGGGATCAAACTCGGGTCCTTGTGCTTACGAGACAGGCGGCAGAACCACTGAGCTAAATACCCGGCTCCCAGTCACTGTTAATTTATACCTTCTGTTTCTTTGGAAAAGAGGACCAAGGAAAAGTCCTTTTCTCTGTCCTTTTCTTACGTACCTACCATATGCCAGGCCCTTTGTAAGGCATTGGTGAACCAATTTGCTAGGACTTCTGACTGGAGGAGCCAAAGTGGATGCAGTGATAAGAGAATTACTGGATAGAGATGGAATCACTTAGAGGAAGGAGTGGGAAAAATTGTCTGACAAGGTGAGGTGAAGACCTGAAGCTCAGACAAAACCAGATAGTAGGGTGGTTGCCTCTTCTGTTCTAAATTGAGTGAATTAAGAGCAGTGCCTCCTGTTGGGGAACATGGTAGACTCTGGCTTCTCTTCTCACCAGTGGGGCTGGCCTCCTGCTCGGGCAGTTTTGATTGTCAATTTGATCGGATTAGGAGACTCCCGCAGGAGTGATAGGTTCATGGTATACTGTTAATCCACTCGTATTTACAGCTGAATGTGGCATCAGGAGGTAGGGCCTGTTAGCTGGAGTTGGTTCCCTGGGGCTTGTGCCTTGGGAAGGTTTATCTCTCTGTGGCGCTCTGTGCCTTTGCTTTGTTTCCTGGCTGCCATGAAGTGAGCAGATTTGCTCCGCAGTGCCCTTCCTGCATGAGGTTTCTGCCTTGGAGCAGCCAGCCATGGACTGGAACCTCTGAAACTGGGAGCTGAAATAAGTCTCTCCTCCAGTAAGTTGTGGGTGAAAAGTATTTTGGTCTCAGTAAAAAGCTGACCAAGACAGAAGGTTGGATTGGTGCTTTTTCCCATTGGATTATTTCCTGAAGTATTAGACTGAACTTTTTAAAAATGTGATTTTCTTCATAAGTCCATAGAGCATATATAAAACATCTGTTTAGTTTTCTTTTTCATTACCTAATGTTCCGTCGTAGGATTTATTCTCATGGCAGCAGTGTTTTGTACAATATATTAGATCTAGCCTATCTGTCTCCTTTCAGAAAGACTCTCTCATGTCTATCTCCTAGCCACAGATATAAGATATATTACATTCTTCCATGATACCACTATCCAGTCGGTTAGTTCCCTTTCAGAAAGCTTTTTAAATGTCTTTTGGTCAGACTGCATCTTACTTCCAGTGTTTAGTAACTGTGTGTTGCTTGACCTTCACATGAAAGTATCAGGCAGACCTTCTTGTTCTCATGCCAGTCCAGAAAGAGTTTGACTTGGTTTTTTCTGAGAAGAGCATTTCTTTCTTTCAGTGTACAAATGTTTGGGGCAACTTTTTTAATTTCCTTTTTTCCTGTGCTAGGTATTGAACCCAGGGCCATATGAATGCTAGGCCAGAACTCTGCCACTGAGCTATAGTCCAGCCCAAGAGATAACCTAGTAAACCCTGGACTTTAACTTTGATGGCGTGAGCCTTGAACCAGTCCATGTGCTGCACTGTTCTTGTTGGCAGAAGGATGATCAGTCGGGAAGTAAGTGCTTTGCCTACCCACTCTGGGCTGAGAGAAAACACAGGAGGAGAGGCCCTGGTGGGGTCAGATGTGTGTGTGCATCAGGGCTACTGTCATAGGCTTTGGTAGGCTGTACTAATTCCCATTTTTTTCATGCTCACACTTTGGTGAGAGCGGGGGAGTGTTCCTCCACTTTTATAGTGGAGGAAACAGACGCAGGGAGATCAAGGAACTTGTTGAGGCCACACAGCCAGCTTGGTGGAGCTAGGATTCTGTTCAGCTTTTGCTGCCCTGGGAGACCTTTCCTACCACTGTGAATGCTGGTCCTCAGTGCACTTCCCTCCTGGTGACAGATAATTCCTTAACAGGGTGGAAAGAAGGGAAGACTGGGATGCTGCTCATGGGTACTTAGGTTTGCAGATTTACCTGAGAAAAATTCTTCCCTTTGAAAATTCTTGAGATGACAGTTTATAATAAAATATTCTGCAAAATAGTATTGTACATACTAAAAAAAACTATGATTCAAGGAGATAAAAATATTTTCATTTTCAAAGTTAGGTTAGAGAAATAAGATTATTTAATAAGACATCAAATTAGAAAGTAAGTTGTATGAGGGCAGAGACCTTCGTCTTGCTTGCTGCTTTGTCCCTAGTGTCTAGAGCACAACTTCAGTAAGGCCTCATCCTTTTGATCTTCTTTATTTTATTATTTGTCTACTCTTTCTCTTTCTCCAAGGTCCTTTCCTGTCTTCTTACATTACTCTGTTTTCTTATTTTTCCTGGGTAGTATCATCCATTCCCAAAAGATAAGCATATCTTTTTTTTAACTTGGCAAGACGAGTCTCACTGTGTAGTTCAGCCTGGCCTAGAACTAACTGTGTAGTTTAGGGTGGCCTGAAACTCACTGCAGTCCTCCTGCCTCAGCTGCCCTCTTGCTGGTATTATAGGTGTATGTCACCACACCCGTCATGGATATGCATATTTTAACTTAGCCATTTAAATAAGCATAATTTTGTTTGGAAAAGTGTTCTAAAATAATATGAAGATGTTTTTCTGGGACTTAGGAGACCAGTATCAGCGTCAGCTCTTGCTGTTACTGATACTGAGCAAGTGCTTTAATCATTGGTGTTTCATTTTCCTCTTAATTGTGAAGGGTATTGGTGTAGATTAAGATGAAAAAGTCAGATATTTATAAGGGCCAGACAGGCAACACAAATGAAGTGAGCTGGGCATCATATGATAAGGAGTTGTAGAGACTTTGATGTAGTTTATGTGTTGTTAAAGGACTTCTTGCTAACTTCTAATGAAAATTTGGAGCTATGAATGAGTATGACCAAAGACAAGTACTTGTGTTATTTTAGCCTTATAGTTCTTAAACTTAGCTATACTTTACAATTACTACCTGGGGAATATTTTTAAAAACAATGACGCTTAGATCTGTCCTCAGAGATAGGATTTGCTTTGAAAAATACCAGAGCTTCCCACATGCTTCTAATGAGCAGCTAGGTTTTTTTTTTTTAATAATTAATTGGACTCTTGACTAGGATGTTTTCTACACCTGACTTTTAGAAACAAGCCAATACTTGTTTAGCAACAGGCAACACACAGTGATCAATGATAGACTCTGCTTTCTGACAAATAAACAAGTCTTTTTCCGTTCATTACAGTGAGCTTTAATGAAAGTTATTATGAGGACTGACCACCTGGGAACAATATTGGATTCCAAGTCACTGCAAGACAGAGCTTAAATTGTGTTCATTATACCTTGCTATCAAATACATTTTGTTTTGCCCCAAACTGTCACTTTATTTCCCAATACGTCTGTGATTCTGTTTAATGGTTTCCACCATATTCTCTGAGTTTGTGGCAGCCACATCTGCTGGAGGGTTAGGTTTCAGTATGTGCATAATCAAAGTTTTCTTGGAAGCCAGTCTTTCTTTAGATGCCTCTTCTTGGAAAGCATTTAAACTGAAATTGGAGACTCCTTACCTCTAACGAAGACCAGGAAATATTCTCATGTTTTAGAATGATTTTCTATAATGTGAACTGAAAACAAGAACTTTTTGCCTTTGTTTGCTTTGATTGCCTAATCTGCATTTAATTGTATTCTGATATTTTTGGCAGAATTAAGTTTGTCCTGTTCAGAATAGGATTTCTGTGTTATCCCTTAGTTTTATGATCTTTTTCTCCCTCCTTCCATCAGTGTTTGCTTTCACAACCAAAGTTCTGGGCCATTCAGACTTCGGCCTTGATCCTCCGGACAAAACTTGAGCGAGGAAGCACACGCCGAGTGGAACGGGCCATGAGGCAGACACAGGTAGGCCTTGATGTGGCAGTTCTGTCATTCCAGTCATGTATTGTGTGTGAACATATCTATCTACATGAGATGAATGAAGGAATCAGGTGGCTCGTATTGTACTCAGCCACTGCTGTTATACAAGGTCTGGTTCTGTCACTGTGTAATTTTGAGACCTCAGTATCAAACTTCTCTAAGCTTCAGTTTTATCATCTGTAGTAGAGTAATAATAGTAGCACTTACAAGTGATATGGCAAGCCTTAAAAGAGGCAATGTTGAAGTTAATTTTTAAAAAAGTAGGATCTCATAAAGGTATAATTGAAAATGTGAAATAGGAAGAAAAGGGCTAAAGGTGTAGGGAAATGGGAAGGGTAGGGGAAAGGAAATAAGGGAAAAGAAAAAATATGAGAAAATGGAAAAATGGAAATAAAGTGTTTGTAAATAGGAAAGGGAGGAGGGGGTGAAGGGAGGGCAGGGGTAAGGGGAAAAAATGAGAACCAAGACCTGTCACGTAAAGGTACAAGATCCCAGTGATGAATGTAACTGCACTATATACCTAAAATGTACCAATAAACTCAATGAGAAAAAAAAATAGGATTAAGGTTTAACATCAGCAGGGTTAAGTCTGCTGATACCAGGTACCTCCTGACAGGATACGGCCAGAAGAGCATCTCAGCACCATTCTTCGCCTAAACCCATAAATCCTGTGTAATTACGAGAAAACGTTAAGGAAAAACCCAGTTGAGAGAGATCCTACTAGAATACTGACTGGTACTGTCCAAAACCATGGAGGTCATGGAAAACAAGGACTAGGAAACGGTCCCAGATCAGAGACACTAAGATTTGATGATTAAATGCAGTGTGGTATCCTGGATTGGATCCTGGAACAGAAAGATAAAACATTAGTGGAAAAACTGGCGAGATTCAGATAAAAATCTGTAGTTAATTAAGAGTCACACGCCAGTGTAAATTTCTTAGTTTTGAAAAAAGTAGCATGAATAGGTGCCATGTTAACATTAGTATAAGATGGCTGAAGGTTGTTTAGGAATTCTTGGTGATACCTATTCCAGAGTTTTGGAAATCTAAAATTATTCAAAAATTAGTTTGTCCTCAAAAAAGAGAAAGAAGGGCCAGGAATTTAGCTCAGTGGTTCTGGCACCTGCCTTGTAAGCACAAGGACCAGAGTTCAATCCCCAGTACCAAAAAAAGAGAGAGAGAGAGAGAAAGAAAAGTAAACAAATATATAGAGAAAAGTTAATTTTGTGTGGAAATATGTATCCTGCCAGTGTCCAGGTAGCTTTGGTCCTTGTTTGTTCTCCATTTGTACAGCCAGTGCAGTGCGACAAGCATCTAAGCGATGAAGACAGGCCTCAGTGCCTCTCTTGGGTCCAGCTGGTCTTTTTTTTTTTTTGGTATTGGGGATCGAACTCTGGCCTTTGTGCTTGCAAGACAGGCAGCGGAACCACTGAGCCAAATCCCCAGCCCCCTCCAGCTGTTTTTTATTTTGAGTCTGATGGTAGATTTTCCACTCAGAACACTGAAGGAAATACAGTAAATTATGAGATCTAAAACAATATGGGTAAACTGTATAGAGGTTTTCTAAATAATCATGTTAGATATAAATGGGCCCACGCAACACAGTCAGGTGGTAGGAAAAAGTGCAAGTTGACTTAAAAAGAGAATGTACAGGCCAGGCGTGATGGTGCATGCCTACAATCTCAGCCCGGTGGGAGGCCGAAGCAGGGCATCATGAATTCCAGCCCAGCCTGGGCAATTTAGCAACTCAGTGAAAACTTGTCTCAAAAATGAAAAATAACAATGGGGCCCTGGGTTCAACCTCCGTACACCACATTAAGAAAAGAAGACAAAAGAAAAGAAATGCTTCAGTCTGGTTCATGCTGGAGAATAGTCTGAGAGGAGCTGGAAGGGCTGACTCCTTTCTTTCTGGTGCCAAATTTTATATAAAGGTGAAGACTTTGAGTTTTCTCTTTTCAGTTAAAGAAACTATGGGCAAGATGATAAAAGTCGTAAGTTTGAAGATTGAGCACTGTGTAGCATATGTTAGTGGTAGAAAACTAATTAGGAGCCTATACTAAAAGTTCCACTGGAGAAAATGCAGTATGGACAGAAAGGAAAGACATTTAATAGATGTCTTACTTCGTTCATGTTTTAATGTTTTTCATTGGTTTAGTTTAAATAAATCATTTAATTTGAAATTAAAATTTAAGGGAAAAGTAGTAAAACTTATGAAACTTCTTTTATGTGGCTGGTTAAATTTAAATGTCTTTTTACTTCTTTGGTTTTTTGAGGTAGTCTCACTATGTAGTTGAGACTGACCTGGAACTCACTATGTAGCCCAGGCTGGAATTGAACTCACAGTGATCCTCCTGCCTCAGCCTCCCAAGTGTAAATTTAAATGTCTTAAAAGGCTGTTTTAATATAATTTTTCAAAAATGGATAGAAATCAGAAAATTAACTTGAGCACTTACAGAAAACAGTTTAAATACCTTTTTTTGGCTAGTATTTTTGCCTGCTTAATTGATGCAAATGGTATTAGATTACATTCACTTGCAATAAAGGACATACTGACCTAGAAATGATTCACTTTTTATTTATTTCTTCCATTAATTTTAGTGTATAAAGTAACCAGGTATCTTTTATAAATGTTTATATATCTTTTCAGTTTGATTTCACATTTCAGTTTTGATATCAAATAACAAGATATGCTTGCCGGTGTGGTGGCACACTCGGGAGGCTGAGGCAGGAGGATCACTGTGAGTTTGAGTCCAGCCTGGGCTACATAGTGAGTTCTAGGTCAGTCTCAACTACATAGTGAGACCCTGTCTCAAAAAACCAAAAACCAAACCAAAACAAAACAAAAAAACAAGATGTGCTTTTAGTGAAGAGTGTGGATTTAAAAGAGTCAAGTAAGTCACTGCTGTAGCATTTTGCCTGCCTAGGCGCTGAGGCAGGAGGATCACTGTGAGTTTGAGTCCAGCCTGGGCTACATAGTGAGTTCTAGGTCAGTCTCAACTACATAGTGAGACCCTGTCTCAAAAAACCAAAAACCAAACCAAAACAAAACAAAAAAACAAGATGTGCTTTTAGTGAAGAGTGTGGATTTAAAAGAGTCAAGTAAGTCACTGCTGTAGCATTTTGCCTGCCCTTTGGCCTTCTCACATTTGGGAATCTCTTCACCTTACCATGAGAGTTGTACAGAATAGCTCTTTACTTGTGGAACAGAATTAGGGAGGGAATTGTTATTTCTGCCTCTATAGCATGGTGCCTATGAAAAATCTTTTCACTTCCCCAACCCAGAAATTTTGAAAATTAGCCACATCATGTGACAGAACGAATACAAGATTTGTCTAATTTTCTGTCATTGTTGAGCCACTTAGCTCATAATCTGAACTTTTGCCAGTTTCTGATTCAGAGTTTGATACTGCTATTTGTTGAAGTTAACTGCATCCCCGAAGAATAAGGAAAAGGATTTAAAATTATATATAATTTTTAAAAAATCTGTTTTGGTTTATGTGAAAAACTGTTCCTTTCCAGACTGTGTAAAGTAATACAATAATAAACTGTTAAGACTGGAAGGTGGAGCTAAAGCGGCCCTTGGGAAAGAGCTTAATCTTGTCCTATTCATGTTGAAGAAATGCAGGTATGGCAAAATCAGGTAACTTGCCCAAACTTGGCTAGTTAACCACAGTCTGGACTATAACTTCCAGTTAGTTACATTAAAAACTCCAATAGCAGTTCAGATTTGGGGGAATTTCCAAGTGAGATGTGCCAACCTTGAAAAGAAAGTGATTTATCATACTTGAGGGGGAAAAAATGAACATTATAAAATCCACAGAGGAGAAGGAACTTCAGGACAGTCCATTAGAAACACATTGATGAAGGAGTTCTTTAGGCATTTTATGTTCAAGGCTATGATGAATGAAGAAAATAGTATGTGTGGAAACTGTTTATTGTAATGACTGTGAGTCAGAAACTGCATGAATTCAAGTGAAATTATATTCTTCAGTAATCATTTATATCCTATATTTTACTAGCAGTGCAGTGTTTCCTATTGTCATTTAGCTTTCCTTTCCCTGTTGATCTAAATCCATATAATCAACATTTTCTTTATCATGAGGTCACACTTTTTCTTCTCTTCTTTACTGTGGTGAAAGTAGCATATGGTAAAAGCAGTAATTCTACATATAATCCAAGTAAAAGCAAATTAATTGATGCCACATGATTCAAAGAGACCATTTCATTTATGTCCAATGCCCCACCCCCAGGATGGTGTAAAGCAAATTTGTCATTGTCGTCTAACTCTCATATAATCTGATTTAACCCATGGTAGGTAAACACAGTTCAGTCATTAAGAGTTTTGTGGAAGATTATTGAATATTCATTAATAAAGTAGTCTCTTAAACCTGTTAATTTAAATTGTGAATGTCTGCCTGTCCAAGTTACTGTGTATCTAAAGATGACTGTCCAACAGGAGTGCTTTCCTTCACCCTTCAACCTCTGATTACTGTACTTGCCTGCATGATTTGTAGGAATAGCACCTTTTCAAAAAACTGTGATTAATTTCTGAGAGGAGGACCCAGAACATGATTGTTACCAATATGATAAGTATTGTTCTGTGTTGACTGTACTTACTCCTCTTTACTGGGGATTAAACCCAGGACCTTAGCACTAAGACCTTTAGCACTAGCTGAGCCCTTTTTCCAATACATACAGACATACATACGTGTGTGTGTGTGTGTGTGTGTGTGTGTGTGTATTTATTTAT